GCTTTCTGCAACCCATTCTGGGAAGGTCATTGCGTGGTCAAGAGACGACCGAGCAGGAACGGAGGCAATGATCCGAGATGGTATATCCTCTTCTGCTTCTGCACCGCCATCCACTCCTCTACTCTCTGTGTATAGCCTCCTTTCCTCCACTTCTCCACATCCACGACCATCACCCCTGTGTTGAAATAACACGGGTGTCTTCCTTCGAGCACTTTAGCCAGTTCCGGGTCTGACCAGAAAGTGTCTGTGAAGTAGTTGGTGAAATTGGCATGGCAATACTCAGGAGCTGCCACGACTTTTTCCTCCATCTCCACATGCCACAGCTTTTCTATATCATCCACAACGACGAGGTCGGAATCCAGATAGATAATCCTGTCAACGTTGCTAGGGAGGATATCCGAGAGGTAGATCCTCGCATAGTTCAGAGGCTGATCAAGTGCCTGCCTTATCGATTTCGATATTCTGCTGCGGACGAGGTTAGGATCGAACTGGTAAATCTTGAAGCTGAGATAGGGGAAGGTGGATTTGATGCTGGTGAAGAGCTCGGTTTCGAAATGAGGAAGGGAGAGGAAATGAAAGGAGAGGTTCTCAGGGCAGGTGGAGTGCTGAAGCAGGGACAAGACGGCAGCCATTGTCCCACGGAGGTAGTTGGTGTCAAGGGTCATGGCGATGTGAATCTGATCAGACTCGCCGGTCCCGCACTGATCCCCGTTCCTGAAAGCCGGGGCTTCCCGGAAAACAGGCAGAGCTGGCTCCAACGGCTTCCTTAGAACGACCCCGACACGAAGGGCCATGGTGGTCGTGGAGCTAACCAGGAGGTGGAAGAGGAGGATAAAGGAGAGGAGGCCTAGGATTAGGCTCCTCAAGGCCATCCTGAGCCTAGTCTCAGGTAATTAATTCTTCAAACCTTTTTACCTCTTTTTTTTCCTTTTTTTTTTTGTTTTTTCAAGTTCTACAGATGGATATTAAGGAATATCACCAATGGTTAGAGCCATTGATGGCGTCTGCTAGATTAAGGAACTGAGGGAAACGATTTGTTTATGGTGCAATCAGAATGTGGGGAAGGGATTGAACCGCGGTTTTTTTTTCCCTGATTTTAGAAAGAAAAAAAATCTTTTTTTTCCAACAAAACAATCCTCCCGAGGAAGGCAGAATTCGGATGATTTATCGACCTTTGAAACCGGGGGGGAATTTTTTTTTTAGATTCCGTTGTTGCTGTTGTCATTATTAGATGTTTATAGTATGAAACTATTCTACGTTTTCGGATGTGCTTATTTTAGAGTGATATGCATCGGCTCGGTTGTCCTAATTGTTTAATTTCCTGTCAGCTCTATATCTTGTCCGTTTTCGGTTCGGTTTTAGTTTCGATTTTTGAAAATAAAACGTTTCGACATGTGTGTTCAGTTGCTGTACATCTCGTGTTTGGGTAGATTTAGTTTTGGGACAAATTAACCGAAATAGAATTAGTTCGGTTTGTGACCCTTTTTGTACGGTTCCGTTGGGGTCTTTTTCCAATCATAGCAAAAATAATCCAAAACCCAAAACTATTTGTATTAAAAAAAAACTGTATTTAGAACGGATCAAAACGAATGAGAATAGAAAGCAAAGGTTGAATGGGGCAAATCCGTGAGTTTTTACAAAATCTAGATACTTTCCGTACTGAGAAAGAAAAACATGGGAATCTCCAAACCTCCAAGATATTTGGAAGTTAGCAAGTCAATAACGAGTTTGGACTGAACGGCGCGAAATCGCGTGGCCTTCGGATTGTACGGTGAGATTGGCTTCCGACAGGACTTATCCCCGTTAGTTATATATACGTCCATTCATTCCTTCCGTACAGTGCGATTCTACTTTCAACTATTTGGGAAATTACTTCACGCTTTATAATATTCAATTTTTTTTCTTTCTAAAATTTCCAACTTTTGTAGGGATATATTGAATCGAGATTCAAACTAATTTTAAGATCGGAATCAAGTCATGTGATTATAATTTGCACTTTCTTTCTAAAGTTGAGGTTTGAATTTTGTTTCTCCATTTGACTGGCTGAACTATCCAAATTGGATCTAAATTTTTCATCTGTTAATTATATTGTTAATTATATTCATTTTATATTTGTATATTCTTAATATAATATACAAGTATAATGGTTCTTCATTCATATTTTTGTATGAATGAGTTGGATTCTTTCTCTTACTTCTCGACGAATTCTACCTGCAGTTTAGTTTCAAACTCAGGATTTCTTTCATCTAGTCGTTTCTTTTTCCCATTCTGTCATGTTCAAGATCGGATTGTGATGATGGCTTAAACCCAGTGATTATTAACCCTTCTTCCTTATTCGAAAACTTTACACAACAATCTAAGTTTTGGAGAACAAATTTTGAAAATTCTAAAAAGAAAAGAATCAATAATAGTTCCTGTCGGCTGTAAGAAAAAAGATCTGTAATGAAAACGTGAAGAAGAAAAAAGAAACAGTGGTTTTAACTTGGCGGTGTGTTCCATTTCTTCTTCTGTTCTTCAAAGCTTCCTATAACCGCAGACTGTTTCTTATCGCCAAGTCGTGAGGCAAATATCTCGTAGCAAGCTCTCGGGTCTACGTTTTCGAGTACCCTTACTCGTTTCCCATGAACTCTATCTACCGAAACTCGGCCATCTCTTGATTCATCTCCTTCTGCAATCACTCTGACATACTCTGTTCCCAGTTTTGGTTTCAGTTCAGTCGCATCACCCCCCAAGAAAACTGCTCCCAAAATCTCCCCCAAGAACATGTCCTAACAACATTCAACAAAACATTATTAGCACGAGAAAGACTCGTAAATCATAGAAAACGATCTGTATTTATATCGTATTTTACCATATGTTGGTATCTGTAGTGATTCTGGTGAAGGGCATACAATCTCCCGAGCAAACGCTGGATGAACCGAGACTCTGGAGTTTTCGTTGACAAGAAGAGTTGGTTAAGCATCGTTTTGAAGGAGTTCAACTTGCGTTGGGTTCCTAACGGTATGAGGGTGATGTTCAGATCTGATTCCAGAACGTTCTTTGCTGCTAAAGGATCAAGAAACATGTTGAACTCGGAGTATTTGTTTGAATGGACGGTGAAGATGTTTCCCTCGTCTGTGTTTCTTCTGTCTATATGTCCTCCCACTATGTAAACTTCCTGCAAAATGAGCCCTTCTTGAAATCAGGAAGATCATCTTCAAGGTTTTGAATCTTGAAACAGACCAAAAAAGAGATCATTTTCGGTCGAAAAGGTTGTAGTAAGAAGGTTTTAAACCTTGATTGCAGAGGTCAAGTTCTTCTGAGATGAGAGGAGTTTGGACAGGGTAGTCAAGGGTCCATTGGTTAGGACTGTGACCTTAGATTCTCCATTCATGGATTTCACCATGTTTTCCCAAACTTCAAGTGCCAAAGGTTGACGGAGCTCAGGCCGATCTGTGTTCCTTGGAGCTCCATATCTTACCGAATTCTCTGCTGTGTATCTGAAAACATGGTTCTTGATATTATTCTTATTATTGTGTGTGTATATAAAGGAAAAAGAGGCCAGACATCTCTGCAATTGCAGCTGCTGAATTTTCGCAGATTGGGCGTTTCCGCTAAGAAATCCATTCGGATATGAAAAGTTTCATACCAAAATTGATTTTTTTTTTTTGGGGCGGGGGGGGTAAATCGATTCTGAGAATCAAATACCTCCTGGGGCTTCTGGGTAGATCACGGGCAAGGCCGTAGAGAGTGTCGGAATCGAGAAATCCGCCGCTACCTTGAGGAACAGCTTTCTCGTACTTGCAATCTCCGACCGCCGGAAAAATGGGGTCCGACTGGTTGACGGCGAACATGTCGCCGAGACCCACCGGAATGTCATCGCGACCCATCATGTGAAGCAAATCGTACACTACATCGATCGTCGCCGCGTTTGCCCACCCTGTCGGACTCACCATTATCGCCTGGAAGAGAGAAATTTCAAAAACCCAGGTTGAATCAATCCGACAAAACCGCATTAGATGCGATTATCTAACGTGTTTTGTTCGATTCATCATCGAGCGTTTGCTTCTATATCTATATTTGGATTGATCTGTCGTTGTTCCCTAGAACCTACCTTCAAGTCGATAATTTCCACAGGAACTTTCAGGAGGAAGAAGAGAGAGAGGAAATCTCCAGGGCTCATGTCCATGTCGAACACCACTGGCTTCCCAATCCGTTTCTTGCTCAAGTCTGGTATGTACAATTCTTCTCTGTAGTACGGAAACTCTGTCGAGAAGTTAAACCTAGCAGTTTGCTCAGGCCTGTTCAGAACCTGTATACACACAACAACAAGAACAAGAACTCGAGCCGATCAGATCATAAACATGGCGTGCAGATTCATATATGTTAAGAGTGATCTTTCAAAAAGAGTTTTGTCTGAAAAGAACTTTACTTCTAGGAAGCTAACGTAGAACTCTCTGTCCAGTTTGCTTCCAGTGTCTTTGTTCGGTTTTGCTCTTGTAGCCACAAGAACACGAACAGAATCCGACCCAGAAGTCTCCTTCGTGTAACCGTCCTGTATGATCGATCATGTTGGATCAGTATCCGAAAACCGGAGAAATTTCATAGTCTGAGATGTTGAAAACAGCAAGTGAGAATCTGACCATGCATTTTCCTTCTCCTTTCGAAACACAGAATGGATCTCTCAGACCTGTCTGAACATGACCGCTGTGAACTCCTCCCCGAGTCAGGTTGAACCTTGGAACCCTCCGGTTGTCAAAGAACGGATTCGATCCGTCAGATTTCCCGTAAGGCTTATTCGACGTCACGACGGTAATGTTCATGTACTCCATCTTTGCAAAATCGTTTTCACCGTTGTCTTTCCCAGAATTACGCATGATCGAGACAGCCACACCGGCTAAGAAAGAATCCCACATGAAGTAGCTCTGTCCAAAACAAACACAAGAAAGTGTTTCATGAGGAGGATCATTCAGTTTCCATGTTTATGTACTGAAAATTCATATTTGCAGGTCTGGGAGGGGGGACTTAACAGTGTAGAACTGGTCATCAAACCAAGTGTCTCGAGCGATTTTTAGGGACAAGAAAGTGTATTGAGCTTCGTAAGTTCTTTGGTTCGTCTCGAACGTTTCGAAGAACTTCTTGTTGATGGGTATGGTGTTTGTTGCATCCAAAGGAACAAGCGTGACCGGAACACCCGAATGAAACACCTGCAGAGACAGATAAACATCATGTATGTATATACGTATATATGTATGCATATACGTATATGTCACAGTTCCAACCAGATAACTATGTGGTTCTGATTCGTGTTTCCTTTGTTTGTTCTTACCTGATAAGCAGCGAAAGGATCAGCAAACATGTTGAACTCTGCGTAACGGTTACTGGTGTAATCGGTGAAGAGATTCCCTCGATCTCCGCACTGGCGAGGCGTGCAAGAATCTTTGGAGTTCTTAGGACAGCAACCGGTAGGGTTCCTCGATCTTACGCCGCCTCCCATCACGTATATGTGCTGGATGTTTCGCTTCAGATGAGGATTCGACATCAGGAAGATGGCGAGGTTAGTGTGAGCTCCGATTACGAACACAGTGATCGGACCTTTAGACACTTTGTCTTTGATCACTTGCTGAGACGTTTCTTGACGGAGTGGAGTGTACCTCCTGCTTCCCTGTTTCACAAGAGAGAGGTATCACATTTCACCAAAAAGCCATTGATTAATTGTTTTAATTTATTAAATGATATATATATATATATATATATA